TTGGACCATACCAAATGGAAAGCGTTCGAGACGGAGTGGAGAAGAATTATGCCCTAGTAAATATTTTACAATTTCAGTGAAGTACATTACGCTAACTCATCTATACTTTTTTTAACATTTTTTCTGTTTCTTTTTTCAGAGATAGCCGTATGGTAGGGGGAGGACGATCTCGAAGACCTATAAGTGGTTTCACGACATCATCACTTCAAGGACTTGGCTCGCCGACGATGTAAGTGAAACAGTCATATTGTTATTTATTATGTATACATAATTCTTTTTGATTATGAAATGAAATAACTCCATCTATTTTTTTATTGGTATTTCCTAATGTAGCACATCAACTTAGCCATGGACTTATTGCGTGATCGAGCTCGAAGATATACAAGATCATTCAACATTCCTAGCTAACTCATATTAAGCATTGAGTTCGTACGTGTCATTATCATTGAGCATCAGTCGCTTCAAATTTTGGGTAATAAGTACGTGCTGCCCAAATATATGGCCGAATAGGTCGTAGGGATGTGACCGACTGCCAGGGGAAAGCCATGGGAGGGTTGTACGCATATATACATTCCAGTCATCGGTGTCATTATCATTGAGTATCAGTCACTTCAACTTATGGGTAATGAGTACGTGTTCCTCGAATATATGGTCGAGTGGGTTGTAGGGATGTGACCGAGTGTCGGGGGAAACCAGGACGATCTCGAAGACCTATAAGTGATTTCACGACATCATCACTTCAAGGACTTGGCTCGCCGACGATGTAAGTGAAATAGTTATATTGTTATTTATTATGTATACATAATTCTTTTTTATTATGAAATGAAATAACTCCATCTATTTTTTTATTGGTATTTCCAGATGTAGCACATCGACTTAGCCATGGACTTATTGCGTGATCGAGCTCGAAGATATACAAGATCATTCAACATTCCTAGCTAACTCATATTAAGCATTGAGTTCGTACGTGTCATTATCATTGAGCATCAGTGGCTTCAAATTTTGGGTAATAAGTACGTGCTGCCCAAATATATGGCCGAGTAGGTCGTAGGGATGTGACCGACTGCCAGGGGAAAGCCATGGGAGGGTTGTACGCATATATACATTCCAGTCATCGGTGTCATTATCATTGAGTATCAGTCACTTCAACTTATGGGTAATGAGTACGTGTTCCTCGAATATATGGTCGAGTGGGTTGTAGGGATGTGACCGAGTGTCGGGGGAAACCAACTTATGGGTAATGAGTACGTGCTGCCCGAATATATGGTCGAGTGGGTCGTAGGGATGTGGCTGAGTGTCAAGGAAAAGCCATGGGAGGGTTGTACACATATATATATATTCCAATGATCGTGAAGCATCACTGCATTACCGTGGAGATTTCTTCGCTGACTCAACTATATATGTGTACGACTCCGACCATTCCTATCGACACAAGGCCGCTTAAGCATAACTTAGAACCGCTTTCAGTGATCGTTCCATTGATGGCTGTCCAAGCCAATGTGATTGTGAAGGACAAACTAGCCATCGTGCGAGACACGACGACGACGAGACGGTCTAGATCGTAAATATTTATAGTTTTTTTAATTTAGAAACTTAGTTTTTAGCTACACGGTACCGAACAACACGTTATTATTCAATTACAGGGGCGATTGTGGCATGTTTACAATAAAATACATTGAATTTTTTAGAATAGGATATAAATTTGATGGAATCAACCAATAGTGGATATAAATTTGAAGGAATAAATTAGCATGCGATTTCTATGAATTCGAGTGTGATCCATAAACATTGTAATTTATTTATTGTAAAACCATGTAAATATCGTATATTTAATTGTTTATTCATTTATCATATAATTATAAATATTGTAAAACTCATATAAACACTATATATTTAATTGTTTATTCATTTATCAAATATTTGCGCTCTAGGTCCCTCAACTATTATTTTGTACAATTCGATCATTTATTTCACAGCGATACTATTTTACATCGGTCTAATTGTCATTTAGGAAAATCTGACTTGTACAAAATTGACGAATATGTCCGTTGCTCCACACCTATCGTACCTACGCGGTCGAGGAAACTTTTCGATAGATGGTATTCTAGACATATGTGGACGTCCGGACCACACGGTTCAACTTGCGATGGCAACAAACTACTAAGTGAGAGACTATGGTCGGGAACTTTCTACTCGACTTCAGTAGGTAGATGAAATATAGTTTCAGCATACGATACTCTCCAATAATCAGTTGTGTAATAAGGAGAGCATAATATTCTCCCTACAAAGCCTTTATATATAGCCACAGTGACTGCATGCTCACATGGAAAACTTTTCAACTGAAATCGATAACAAGTGCATGTGTTATCATTAAGTCCACCATGTATGCCATATTATAAGCATATTTCATGGAGAAGCGCAACTCATCCAGTGGTTTGACATTTAACTTTCTCGCAAGCTCCGCATCCTTGAAGAGTTTATCTTCTTGAGATGGGGCTAGCACGTTAGTGCAACTTTGTGATTCCACACGTCGTTTTTGAAACTACTATTGCAACTTGTTACAAATGTTCTCAATCATTGCAAGGATTAGAAACTCTCAATCCTTCTTGAATAATGCATTGAGAGACTCCACATTGTTTGACGTCATCATATTGTATCAGCTTCTTGGAAAATATAATCGCTCACAGTGTTCAATCCCCATTTTTGTCAAATACTCCCATGTTGGTAATAATTTACTTCATATTTCCATCATGAACTTATTACACTTTTCAACACTATAAGCTTCGACTGCTCTCCTAAATAATGAAATGATGTCTTTGCCCCTATACTTAGTCTTCACATTGCATTGTATATAGTACATGCAATATCTGTGATATGCCTCAGGAAAATCTTCAACGATACCATTTATTATAGACGGTCCTCGATCAATTACAAATGCAAGGTCCTCGACTTCCCTAATTACTTCTCTCAACTTTGTGAAGAACCAATGTATCGATAGATCATTCTCGCTATCTACTATGTCGAATGCAAGAGGGTAAATTTAGATGTTGGCATCTCAACATGTAGTAATAATTAACTTGCCTTCGTATCTAGCTTTCAGAGTTGTACAATTGACTAAATTTAGGGGTCGCATCGCATTTTGAAAGCCCCGAATGCATTGTCCAAGAGTCACGAAGAAAAACTTAAAGTAATTCTCGCCCTCGTCTCAATAAAAAAGGCCAAGCCAGGATTAGTTGTTCCCATATTATGTCAATACCTAGCCAATTTAGCATAGCTCTCCTCGGTCGAGCCCATTAAATCCTCCAGCGCACATTTTTTGGCCTTCCAGGCATTCAGTAACTCATGACCACTTCATACTCTCGACGGACGTCGTTAATGATGTCCGAAGGTCTGTAGATTGTTCGTGGGTCCTGATACTTATGCATTATCTGTCGACCAATAAACCATGCTCGAGCTTGCCTATGATTATTTCAACTAATTCCCACATTTCAAGTATGTTCTCGATTATACTTGCGAACTACGAAGAACTCATTCGCGTCCATTTTCGTCGTTCGCAAACGCCAACTGCAACTGTCCTGGACGTAGACAATCGTCAACAATGATTTGTTTGATTTCTTAACTTTGAACTCAAGTTGTATTTCAGTGCAATTCGATGCGTAGCTTCCTGAAAATTTTTCTTTGTTTCGAACAGTTGCTCGACATACAAATTCTCATCATCGGGAACCACAAGCGAAGAATTAGATGACAATCCGCTCGGTCCAGCCCTTGTGCTCCCACACCACTCATGTCTCCGACGGGAAAAAGCAATCAAATTATTATTTGTAAATTCATTATCGTTCTCGTTATCGTGAACTGCCTACGGAATTCTGTGTGTAAATGTGAGATCACGATGAGGAACAAGTGGTTCGGGAATAACCACATCATCCCCACGAGCTATCTCTACTGTGTCCCAAAAATCATTGAGATTGTGATCCCATCCAACCGAATCTTCAAGTCCACCTTCGACGACATCCTTCATCACTAAAGTCATCCAAAGAGGAGTTGTGTACATTTTGTTCAATTCAAATAGAGAATTCACTTCTTCATCACAAGTAACCTTCATAAGTGGATTAGAATAGATGAATCATCTTTGAATTGAAATCTCAGTTCCATATTGTACTGAGAGATATCGACATTCAGCTTGTTTTGTAAATCATGGTACATTTTCGCATATGTTGTACTCTCCGTTATGGAAATTGAAATACCACCACGTTTATCACTTGTCTATCTTCATACCCATTGATTTTTCTTATCCAATTTAAAGTCACCAAAGAAACAAACTCGCATTACAATCATATCTGGGAGAGAAAATAAAATTTTTTAAGAAAATACATAGTCATTCGGCTCGACTGGAGCAACAGAAATTTTTTTTTAAAAAAATGTTGAACAGCCTAAAAACAGTTGGCTATTAACAGCCGGCTGTCCGACTGTTAAGACGATAGCCGGCTGTCGATTGTTTATCGATTAAAAATTTTAATCGATAAATTTTTCCGGCTGTTAAACATATAAAAAATTTTGGCTGTTTTTATCGATTAAAACGTATAAAAATTTAACAAAAATGAAATAAAACATACGTAATATACTTACCGATTCGAAATGATTGATATTATAAAATATTTCTTTCTTCAGCGTTCGATAAATTTCAGAGATTTTGAAGTTGAAGCGGATGAAAGTTGAGAGAGTTTTTATCAATCTTGGAATAGACCGATAAGAAGAGTGAAGTAATTTTGAAATTTTAAGTGAAAAGTGTTTGATTTTCAATTATTAATTAAAATGATAAAATTATTTTTTAAAGAAAACAATATTTTGTAACTCTATAACTTATTTTGTAAGTTATTTTGTAATCTCTAATCAGCTTGTAAATCTTAAAAGTACCCCTTTCATTCCCAACACAAAAACCCCTTGCTCCAAGGACAGCAGATTTGTACCGAAGACCGATGAAAAAGTTGCAGAGAGAGAAGATGAAGGGAGGGAAAAGGAGAAAAACCAGCAAGTCCGTAGAACCCCGACATTTCCCTCCCTCACTTCAGCCATCTGCCGCCGCCACGACCGTCATTGGTGGCGGCGATATGGAGGTGGGGGTGGTGAAAAATCCAGAGGAAAGTGAAAGATTTGAAGCTACTGAAGCTGCTTCTGAAGAAGAAGAAGAAGAAGGGAAAACGCAAGACTCCCAGCAGTTGGAGAACTCGAAAATCGAAGAACTCGAGATGGAGGCAGAGAGGCTTAAGCTAGCTGATGGGTACTATTTGATTGAAGCTGTGCGCAGTAAGCGCATTCGGAAGGTATATAATCATCCCTCTGTGGCCTCTCGGTATTGTTAGTTCTGTTTGTTTGCTTGTAAAAGAAAATGAAGGACCATTGGGTGGGATTTGTTGAAATGTACTTTTATTTATGATGATTTATTGATTTGTGGTTTCTCTTATTTGCGTGGGTTTTGTGGAGTACGGTGAAAATGCAGGGCAAAGTGCACTATCTGATTAAATGGTACGTAATCCAGAAAACCACTATGCATACTCTGTATTGTGTGAAATTCGGAGAGATAATAACAGCATATTAGTGTTTAAACGGCCTGAAAATGTGTTTTGTGCTGATTAATGTAATGGATGTTTTTGGAAAGGCGAGGCTGGTCAGAGGCGGAAAACACATGGGAGCCTCTGGATAATCTACTGCAATGTTCGGATGTTATTGATGCATTTGAAGAAAGGTTTTATTGATTCTAAATCGAATTTGTTATATCAATGTTACTAGTGTTATATTATCTTTTTGAATGGAATAGTTAAAATGTGATTTTTATTTGATGATATTTGTATAATGTATGAATGAATGCTCAGTTGTGACTCTTTATGTTTGTGATTTGGCTTGTTTTATTGGACTTGAAGTTTGAAAGCAGAGAAAGGCCGGTCAACGCGTAAGAGAAAGCGCAAGAGCAGTATAACTTTCACTGGAACCAAGAAAAAGCATCAACAGCGATCTCCTGTTGCTGCCACTTACAATGTACCCTCAGACAGTGTTAGGATTAAAGAAGGCCTTATTGCGAATGACAATGGGAAGACTCATGCTAGTGATGTGAACAATGTTGAAACATCCAAGAAAGAAAACAAAAATGGTCTTAAAATGGTTTCGAAAGGAAGACATAAAAAAACTGAGTTGGGTTTGAAGCTGTGTGAACTAAAGGGAGCAATGGTAATCAGTGAGGACTATGTGGACAGGCTTTCTGTGCCTTCCCAAGAAGGGCAATTGACAACAGGAGATGCCTTTGCAAATGGATTACAGATGGCTAATGTTATAGAACCAGCTCTGTCCAGTCAATGTATTGGAGCTAAAAAGAGGAAATCTGGTTCTGTCAAGAGGTTCAAAAAAGGTCCAGTATCATACACTATGGATGATGCACAAAATGGTAATCTGGCTGAACCAAGAGGTGTTCAAAGTCCTGATTTTCTGGGGAACAATACGAATGGCAAGAGTCAGCTCGAGGATTCCAGAAAGCTGGGTACTACTATTGCTCAGATAATAAAGCCTATAAGCTATCAAATTTCTATTTCAAACAATGTTGAAGAGGTTTTAGTAACCTTTGATGCTGTAAGGTATGAGATCTTGCTCCAACTTTCTCAGTTCATGTTTAACTGGTGCATTATACACATAACTTTGAATCCCATACACTAAATATCCTGACCTTCCCTTCGGAAATGCAATATTTGTGCCTTAAAATTAATTTCATAAAATAATGAATCTTGTAAATAGTACTTTATCAAGATGAGACTTAGAAAGAGTAGATGCTATGTTGCAAGATTGTTTAGTCACACTATCTCCATTTCTGGATAATACTCTCCGTCAATATTGGATCAAACAATAGGAGGCCGTAGCGCTATCTTTTAGACTAACTTTTCCAACTTTGCATTACAACAATATCATTTGCATTAGCTTTTTGTTACAAATTAAATGACTGTATGTCTTTTCTCGTGGTTAATTGGCATAGACATTTTTGTAATTCTCTGGTGTTCGAAACCACCATGTTTCTTAAATTTTTTTTATTGTGAATACCATTTCTCATCTGTCTCAATTTTGTTGTAGAAGCTACAATAATTCGTATATATTGCTCAATGATGGAACTCAATTTGTCAGTTTGATATTTTTGAAAAAAAAAATCCACAGTGAAAGATCTTGGCATATGGCATGGAGAATTATGAAATTGAACAACGTAATATGTGCATATTTAATGGATACACTTTAAAAGTCAATAAGGATATATCTACAAATGATCTTCTGACTAGGTTGAGCTTGCCTCTCAGATTACATGCATGATATTTCAGTTTTATTGCATACTAAAGGTTTTTGTTCTGTATTCTGGTATTTTCTTGTATACCAGAATTTGAAGGGGAAAAAAAACTAAAATGGTGAAAGAGGATTGTACCATCACTTAGTGCCTTTTGGGTAAATAAGGTAGAAGTGGATATTGCTTAGATAATTTAATACAATTCTAAATTACAGAACTACATAATAGTCGCCATAATTCGGTGGGCAATGATCCATGGAAAAAAAAATAGGGATGAATTACCTACATATTTCTAATCGTATCCAGAGGAATATATTGAATTCTAGTTAGAATATTACTTCTGGAAAAAAGAGATCTATCTGAAGTGTGGCCTGTTTCTTTAGCTTACAACTTCTTTTTGGTATTTGTTTATATTTTTTTTTTTTATAAAAAATAACCTGACAATTCTGTTGAAAATTTTGAGTTTTAAGGGATACTAGTAACTATGATAAACTTTGGTAGAGTGATGTATATTCTGTTGTACTTTTGGCAAATGTATGGGACCTGAATCATTACATGCAACATGCTCCAGACATTGTGATTTGCTGAAATGAAAATTATAATATTACTTAGGTTGAGAATAACCGAATAAGTGTCCAGTTTAGGTTTAGTTTTGAAAGTTTTCACTTCATGGCCAATTGGCCATTCATATTTGCCAACTCGTCTTTCTTGAAAGATCCTTGCCTCTTCAAAATTATTTGAAGCCCCATCGTTGTTTATTGGCATAGAATGATGTGAATGTTTTTCGATGTATTGAAATCTTAAGCATTGAGAATGATTAAGATGTCTTTTGTTTCCATAAAGAATTGAAACGTTCTTTTGTGTAAGCTGAATGATCAGTTTGGATTTGTATTGTTTTAGTTCCTTGTTCTTTATAGATTGCTTTCTTGCTTATTTCATTTAACAATATTTATCGAGAGGCATTCATGTTCATGAATCTTTCTTTTGGTTAAATTCTGTAATTTTCGTGGCTGCCTACAGGCTTGATGGTACTAAAGTGACGGTGGATAACAAGTTTTTGAGAGCCAACAATCCACTTCTGGTAAGTATTTCGATCTTATATGGTTCGCTTGCCATGAAGTTTCTTTGATGTAATAATAGTTAACGTTCCTGGTATTAAAATATCAATCTTCTAGTGTTGCTTTCTTTTAAAATGCAGCTGATAGATTTTTATGAGAAAAATCTTCGTTACTGTTCCTCATGTTGAGCATGCTAATGAATGGAGGACGGAAGAAGAGAGCCTTATAGTCAAAGGACGTGTATTCATGTAAATGGCGTGTTAAACACAGTTGTTTCTTGTGGTCGAAGGCTAAATTAATGGCGATGTAACCAGGTGTTTCGCAGGGAGAATGGCTTATTACCTGTCTGCAAACTTGAGTAGGAACTTAACTTTTGTTTAATGACATGACTACTAAACCTAGTACCAGCTTACATTGCAAGTTTTTATTTTCGCTCTGCTTCATTATGTGTTGCTTTTACATCAAGCCCGCTTGTTTGAGCCCCATTTTGGTGTAGAATACATTTTGAAATGGTAGATTGATGAAAAATATGTGGTTAAAAATAAAGAAAATGTTTTTGGATTATGTGTAATATTATTTAATTGAAAAATGTGTAGTTAAAAAAAAGAGATAAAATGTAATTTGAAAAAAAAAAAGGGGATCAAACTAGGGCTAAAATGAAATTTTGGGAGATAAATTGTTTTGGAATGTTGATTTTTTGGAGATTGTGGGTTAGAAAATAAGAAAAAGTTTTGAATTTACGTATAACATTAAAGTAAGTTATCAAAAAATGCATTTTTGAAAAAATCGAAGTTAGTGTTGAGTTTTGAATGCAATTGCTTTCAGCTTATTTAATTTCGCGACTTTGTGATTCTTGATTCAAGTGGATATACTCTTTATACTTAGGATCCGTTTGATTACAAGAGTGAAAAATGCGTGGAAAGAAAATGAATTTCAGATAAAATAATTGTCTAGAAATTATTTTGCAGGGAATTGAAAATTAAGTGTATTTGATTGGAATAAATTTCCACCCGAAAAATTTTAAAATTGTGTGTTTGTTTGGCTTTGTTTTACATGATAATCTTCCTCATCTGTTGTTTCTTCAATGTCTTCGATCGTGACATTCTGAATATTATGATCACGGCGTTGGACTTCCTCAATCGGAACCTGTCCACGACGACCATGACCTCTAGGCGTATGTTGTTGCGGTATAAGTGCAGCAACTTGTTGTGTGAGCAACTCCACTTGTTGATGCAGCTGTGTGATTTTATCACGTCTACGTATCTCCTCTACTAGGGCTCCACGGGCTTCTTGACGTCTCCTGACGGCATGGTGAAGAAACGACTTCGGCTCTGATACCAACTGATGCAGGGAAAGATTATAGGAAAGACAAAAATTCACACGAAAAGAATTTCAAAGAAGAGAAATTTAAGAAAACTTTATTTCATTCAAAATTGAGCTGCCTCAAAGAACTTACAATGTTTAAATAGCGAAATCCTAAAAAAATTCGAAAAGAAATTATATAATAATAAAAAATATTATATTTTTTCCAAAAATGAAAAAAATTGAGATAATGACGAATCTTGATTCTCCTAATCATCAAGATCATCCCCCAA